GCAACAACATAAATGTGCCGAAACTCACCACATAGTGTCCTTAAAAAGCCCTGGCCTGTTGACTTCTATTTATATTCCAGCTCGGGTGGCAAAGCGGCAGCAAGTAGAAGAAATGATCATTATTACTGTTAGCATAACTGAATGTGGCTAGATGCTTGCCTGATGGCCCGAAGGTCTTTGGTCTGAATCTGTTCTCAGGCAGACTTCTTGTCTGAAGTGACCTTGGCTTAGAGGTTAATCCAGCCTCAATCGGGTACCAGGTAATGCCCTGGGGAAATAAAGGCAGCTGGTTTGATGTTAACCACATGAGGCTGACCCAAAGTGCTGAGACTGGTCTATAAAAACAGGTCTAGAATCATATGCCCAAGGCACCACTGGCAGAGAAAGGGTAATTTACTAACTTTATAACTGACCCTATGTTAACCTTAGGCATATTGGGTATATAGGGCTAGACCTTTATTTTATAGACCAACAGCACAAGATGGGCGATGTGGTCAGCATCGCGGCAGCCGCCTTTACTTCCAGGGACTGAACCTGGTACCCACTCAAGGCTGGGTCGACCTGAAAGCCAAGGTGATTTTTTTTTTTTAAGTCCGGCTCCGCCAGGGAGCGAACCCACAACCTGCTAATCCGCAGGTGAGTGTCTAGCCACTATGCCAAGGCGACTCTCTGACTATATGGTAGTTTCTAATTTTAAAAAAGTAACAAATAAAAAATTAATTCTAATTTGCTTTATATATCGTAAAGGCATGCATAACAATCAAACCGGTCATTCATTTTCAGTTTGCAACTAGACTCACACAAATATGATCATATTTGGCAGGTATTATTTTCGGAACTCACACTATGGTCCAGCAAAGTTAAGTTAAAAAAATACACATTTTTTTTTTTAAATTACGAATTATATACATATGTTTTTATATACCAGAGACATTTTTTTAAAAACAAAGGTTAATGAAGATGACTTTAAATAAATTAACTCACAAGGAGATCTAATTACCCGTATACAATAGAGGACAGTCCACTTTCACCTAAGCGTAACATCCTTCTTCCCTTTTTCCCGCCTTTATTCCCCAATGGAGCACAGGCTCTCAACCAACTTGCTCCAAGTCATCCTGTCCTATGCCACCATGTGCAGCTCACCATTTTCATCATCAGAAGGAGAAAACAGACAACTGAAGTATGTATTAGTTATGTTAGTATATTATAAGTCGTCCCCATGTGGAATGCAATTTTTTTTTTTATTTGAAGTCCCACCATGGCTTCCGCCAGGGGCCCTGAATATATCCGGGGCATAAATATGGCCTAGCCATAGATATGGCAGAAAAGGGTTTCTGGGACCTCTCCATGGGTGATCCTCATCTGCATGGTGGCACTTTGTGTCACTGGGTGTTTATCGCTTGTGTGATGTCCTGGTGGGGTACAACTACCTACCTACCTGGTCATGTTGGTGAAGAAAGAAAATGCCCCGGAGAGAGTAAGAGACAGAATTAAATGTTTGGCATCATGACATGGAATAACATCTGTATCAGAAATTTCGAGACAGAAGGTTCCTGAAAGACATCCCCATCAATGCAACAAGGCATGGACTATATAACAAACATACACAAAGCATATAAAACCAACATTTCCGCAGTTAGAAGCTCACCTGCTAGCCCAAGGTTCTTTTGTTCACAGCTCCTGGGTTGACCCAGCCTCAAATGGGCACCAGGTTAATATACAGGCAAATGACAGCCGTGGAGCCGTCGTGGTGAAGCGGCTATAGAAGATCCTGGGTTCAGGTTCTGGTGAAACCAGACTTTTTTTTTTTCTTCCAAAAATGACCTCAGCTCTCAGGATGACTCAGTCTTAAATGGGTACCAGGTAAAGTCCTGAGAAGTAAAGGTGGCCGACGTGATGTTGACCATATCACCCCTCAAGTGCCAGTTGGTTTATAAAAATAATGGTCTTGCCCTATATGTCCAATGAGGCGAAGATGTGAAAAAGGTTCTTTACTTTGCAGTTTAGTCTACTGGATCCATTCATTCATTGAGCTCGGCTCTAAATAAAATAACAATGCATGATCAGGTATTGCAGAATCCAATACATGAACAATTAAAAATGTGAACACTTAAGTTGACCTGTTTCCTGTACAAGTATATCAATGCATCATTACTGTGAACTCACGTAACAATGCATCATTACTGTGAACTCACGTAACAATGCATCATTACTGTGAACTCACGTAACAATGCATCATTACTGTGAACTCACGTAACAATGCATCATTACTGTGAACTCAAGTAACAATGCATTATTACTGTGAACTCACGTAACAATGCATCATTACTGTGAACTCACGTAACATGCATCATTACTGTGAACTCACGTAACAATGCATCATTACTGTGAACTCACGTAACAATGCATCATTACTGTGAACTCACATATTAATGGATTTAACACAAAATAGCATACAGTCAGTAATCATTCATAGGTAGTCATCATCCACAGTCAGTAATCATTCACAGGTAGTCATCATCCACAGTCATTATTCATTCATAGGTAGTCATCATCCACAGTCAGTAATCATTCATAGGTAGTCATCATTCACAATCAGTAATCATTCATAGGTAGTCATCATCCACAGTCAGTAATCATTCATAGGTAGTCATCAACCACAGTCAGTAATCATTCATAGTTAGTCATCATTCACAGTCAGTAATCATTCATAGGTAGTCATCAACCACAGTCAGTAATCATTCATAGGTAGTCATCATCCACAGTCAGTAATCATTCATAGGTAGTCATCATTCACAATCAGTAATCATTTAAAGGTAGTCATCATTCACTTCTAGTAATTCTCCCTGGTCTCTGGGTAGTAGGATCGGATGCCTGTGTGTATTGTTGCGCACGTAAAAAATCCTTTGACAGTTGGAAATCAAAAAGAGTAGCCTAACTGTGCTGTCCGGGCAAAATCTGGAGTTAAAAATCTACCCAATGTATTTAACGATCCTCACCAGTGCTACAGAGTTTGTGCATTGCGCAGAGATTCTTCAGACTCAGGCTTGAGTTAGAAGTAGAACAGAGCACTTATGGGTTACTACTCTTGTGCCATGATGTTGATCTGTTCTTCAAACCAAACAATAATAATCATTTATATGACTGCTAAAAGGACAGTCATGATTGGTAATAAAAGAGCCAAGAGCCATGTAGCATGTAATCAGTAAGTGGTGAAACAACAATCAGTAACCATTCATGTAACTGGTATACATCAGCAGTAACCAATTCATATGACTGATCATAAATTTAACAATAAGTAATCTCAGGACTAGTAGTTAATCAGTCAGTAAACATTCAAATGACTGGTAAATACATTAGTTAATCAGTCAGTAATCATTCATATAACTGGTAAATACATTAGTTAATCAGCCAGTAACCATTCATATGACTGGTAAATACATTAGTTAATCAGTCAGTAACCATTCAAATGACTGGCAAATAGTTAATCAATCAGTAACCATTCATATAACTGGTATACATCAGTCAGTAAACATTCATATAACTGGTAACTACATCAGTCAATCAGTCAGTAATCATTCATATGACTGGTAAATACATTAGTTAATCAGTCAGTAAACATTCATATGACTGGTAAATACATTAGTTAATCAGTCAGTAACCATTCATATGACTGGTAAATACAATAGTTAATCAGTCAGTAGCCATTCATATAACTGGTAAATACATTAGTTAATTAGTCAGTAACCATTCATATGACTGGTAAATACAATAGTTAATCAGTCAGTAGCCATTCATATAACTGGTAAATACATTAGTTAAACAGTCAGTAACCATTCATATGACTGGTAATACATACAATAATCAGTAATCATATGACTAGTAGTTAAACAACTAACTGGTATCCATTCATAAATGTGATGAGTTCGTGAAAGGTGAAGAAATAAGAGAAATGCCCAACAACAGCTTAAATGAATAGTTAAGAGAAAAGAAAATGGCAATAATTTGGACACACCATGAGAAGCCTACACAGAAACAATAATCAGGCATCTCAGTGGGAAAGAAATGGACTGAGGCAATGTGGACATCCAAGAAAAACGTTAACTCTTTCAGTCCCAGACAGCTGTTTTGTGGACCCACTCTCTTTTAGTGATTAACTCATTCCTAACCCAGACACTTGCTCAAATGCTAATTCTGTCAGTGACATCATTTACCTCTCACCCAGATCAATGTGGCTGTAAAGTGGAAACAGCACAACACATGGAGAAAATTAGAATAAGCATTTGACGTAAGAGATAACAATTCAACGCACGGTGTCTCCTGATACTGAAAGAGTTAAGACAATCCTTGAGAAAGGCAGGGGTGTGAGATTGGATTCTGTGTACGATATCAAAAGGGTTGAATAGAACAGAACGGAACAGAGGAATAGACTGAGAGCCATTTGTGATGTATAATGCCACAAAAAGATGATGACGATGATGAATCATTCTTATAACTGGTAATACAACAAACATAAAAGAAAATTAGTAACCATGGAGATGAGACGTCTGAGAAGGGCTGTAGAAGTGACCATAAGAGATAAGATCAGGAATAAGATCATAAGAGAAAAAGTTGGCTCAGAACAAATTCTAAATTACATACGAAGACAGCAAGTGAAATGGTTTGCCCACTTAGAGAGAATGCCTTGTGACACCATTCCATACAAAGCTTACATGGAAAGAGAAGAAGGACGTAGAGCACGAGGTAGACCAAGAATATATGGAAGGATAACATCAGAGAAACTCTACAACAGCACGATGTGCCTATGGTCGAGGCTGCCAGAAGAGCTAGAAACAGAACCTTATATCTCCCTCGACGCTCACAGCGGTAGAAGAGGAAGTGAAGAAGAAGAATACAACAGCCAGCAATAATTTACATATAAATATATACATATATAATATGCATCCATACAACCACACAAGCGTTATTACACCAAGAGGCAGACAATCTTCAGGAGTTTATTAAGAACTGTTGAATTCTTTCGATGGTTTTTTTACTGCAGATTTTTTACCTTTGGCTGATCCTTTGCCATCAACGTTAGCCGATCCCTTGCTGTGGGAACTAGTCGGATTTTCAGCGCCATCGTCATCGTCCTCTTCCATCAACTTTTTTGCCAGCTGTACAGCAGCAAATTCATTATAGTGCATCTTCCGCTTCATAATGAAAGCCTTCTTCTGATCTGACAACAGAAACAAATACAGCTGTTGATCAATGTAGTCAACTTCTTTTTCAGTGACCAATGTTTAACTCTTTGACTCACAAGGAACGCATCACAAGCTATTTCTCTTTTTAAAGAACTGAAACAGACTGTAGTCTCAACAAAGCTAATAGCATACTTCTTCTTCGGTTCTTTTAACACTTCAGGTAAACAGTCAGATACAGATGAGTCTGGATAACTAGAGGTCACAGGAACCTTAGAAAATGCTTTCACTTATCAGGATTTCTTCTTATGCAGACAGCACACACAATAGAGAAAATTTCTGGGACTAAGCTGGTAATGTCGACTTAACCCAAATTCTACTTATCCGAGTTCGACTTAAGTGGACTCGACTGTATAACGCGCATTTCTGGCCATTTCGACCACAGACACATGGTGCTGTTGTAGAGTTACTCTGGCACTATCTTTCCATATTATTCTTGGTCTATCTTGTGCTCTATGTCCGTCTCCTCTTTTGGTGTATGCCTTTTATGGTAAACATACACTTTCAATGTATAAAGCAGCAGTCAGAAGTGCTGTGTCAGTAAATAAAGAAGTAATGGACCCTTTCACTTAACAGGTGAATGGGGCATATGGTGCCAGACCCATATTTTTTATAGAGGTATCAGTACTCGATGGATGATGTGTTCAACATCCCACTGGCTGCCTTTTACTTCCCAGAATATTTCAGGTTGGGCCGACCTGGAAGCCCTACACCAGTGTTTCCCAAACTGTTCTTGGTCGCAGCCCCTTTCTTCAATAACAATTGTTCTACAGTGCCCTAACGTAAGTAAAGGTATGACTATTCGTATGAAAAAAAAAATTTTTTTTTAAACTGTGTATCTTCTAATATTTTGCAGCACCCCTGTCAAGAGGTCGCTGCTCCCCGGGGCGCCGCAGCAACTCAACATAAGGGGGAAACAAATTTAATGCAAAAACTAATCAGGGAAAAAAAGAATGTATACATTTCTTTATCTCTGGCATTTGAAGAATCAATGTATATGTTTGCCATAATAATTATGTGCAGCTGTATGTGTTCCATGTCTTGACGTGACTTGACTTTTTTACCCCACCCCGACATCACACTGAGCGATAAACACTCGGTGACGCAAAGTGCAACCATTTGGATGATGATCACCCAGGGAGAGGTCCCAGAAACCCTGTTCACCCCATATTCTGGATTATAATTAGGGCCCCCTACAACAGCTGGAGTTGGGATGTAAAAATTGTGTCCTGCGTGGGGATGGGTGTTCCAGGTAAAATGATGCAGGTAATTATGTGCAAATGTATGTGTTCTAAGTCAAATGACACCAGTAAATGTGTCCAAACGTATGTTCTAAGTCAAATGACGCCAGTAAATGTGTCCAAACATATGTTCTAAGTCAAATTATTATGTGCAAAATTATGTGTTTAAAGACAATTGATTTATTTTAAGTCAAATGACGCCAGTAAATGTGTCCAAACGTATGTTCTAAGTCAAATTATTATGTGCAAAATTATGTGTTTAAAGACAATTGATTTATTTTAAGTCAAATGACGCCAATAAATGTGTCCAAACGTATGTTCTAAGTCAAATTATTATGTGCAAACTTATGTAAGTCAAATGACATATGCATGAAGACTATACTTTTCTCTTCCTCCGTCATATTTTCATTGTTAGTGTCATCTTCGTCTTCATCCTGATAGTACTTCCTGTCAACACTTGAACCAAGGCCACTTTCCAATCTGAAACACAAGTCACAAATTAATAAATGTGGGGATAAACTGATGGACAGAACTGATGTGGGGGGGGGGGGGGGGAATATAGACAGAATTGATGTGGGAAGAAACACGGACAGAACTGTTGTGGGGGGGAATATAGACAGAATTGATGTGGGAAGAAACACGGACAGAACTGATGTGGAAAGAAACATGGACAGAACTGATGTGGGAAGAAATATGGACATAACTGATGTGGGAAGAAATATGGACATAACTGATGTAGAAAGAAATATGGACATAACTGATGTGGGAAGAAATATGGACATAACTGATGTAGAAAGAAATATGGACATAACTGATGTGGGAAGAAGCATGTACATAACTGATGTGGGAAGAAACAAGGATACAACTGATGTGGGAAGAAATATGGACAGAACTGATGTGGGAAGAAATATGGACATAACTGATGTGGGAAGAAACAAGGACAGAACTGATGTGGGAAGAAATACGGACAGAACTGATGTGGGAAGAAATATGGACAGAACTGATGTGGGAAGAAACATGGACACAACTGATGTGGGAAGAAATATGGACATAACTGATGTGGGAAAAAACAAGGACAGAACTGATGTGGGAAGAAACATGGACACAACTGATGTGGGAAGAAACATGGACACAACTGATGTGGGAAGAAACAAGGACACAACTGATGTGGGAAGAAACATGGATACAACTGATGTGGGAAGAAACATGGACAGAACTGATGTGGGAAGAAATATGGACAGAACTGATGTGGGAAGAAATATGGACAGAACTGATGTGGGAAGAAACATGGACAGAACTGATGTGGGAAGAAACATGGACACAACTGATGTGGGAAGAAACATGGACAGAACTGATGTGGGAAGAAACATGGACATAACTGATGTGGGAAGAAACAAGGACAAAACTGAAGTGGGAAGACATGGATAAAACTGATGTGGGAAGAAACAACGACAGAACTGACAAAATAGGCTCTACTGGTTGATAATGACAAGTCTCTGACACCAACCCTAACTAAGTGACTTAAGAGTAAAGCTGGCAAAGCATTCCTATGCCATCTTCAAGGTCAAGATAGGCAAGACCATAACAAACTGTGCATGGTAATAAACAGTACAGGTGTCTTGGGATTTCTGTTGCATTGAAGGATCAAGCCTAATGCATACCAGCATCAACTGTGACAACATAGCATAACATGGCTGATAAAGAGACAGTGAATGAAACAGAGACAGAGAGACAGATAGAGAGATAGAACGAGAGAGACAGAGTGAGCTGAAGAAAGAAATCCATTCCCAGATCTAATGGCACAAAAACAAAATAGAAAACAAATAAATGGTTGGTGTTGTAAAAAGTAAAAGTAAAGGACCGTTTTCCACGCCTGTATGCGCATTGGGTATATAGGGCTAGACTTATATCTTTGTAGACCAATCGGCACTTGGTGGGTGATGTGGTCAGCATCACGCCGGCCACCTTTACTTCCCAGGACTGCACCTAGTACCCACTCGAGGTTGGGTCAACCTGGGAGTCAAGGTCATTTTTGAAAAAAAGTTCGGCTCCGTCAGGATGTGAACGGGTTGGTGTTGTCCCAGCTAAGAAAAACTTTTACTTTTAACAGTTATAATAATTTTTATACATCACAGCATATGTGTACACGGTTGCAATATTTCTGCACAAAAATAAACGTTTGGCATAATAAGTGAACTATGCGCGGCAGACCGGTTAGGCGGTTTTGACATCTGTCTCCTGATTGTGCAGACATGGTTATTTACTTTATAAAATCAGAAAAGGATGGTGTATTCCCCCCCCCCCCTTTTTCCCAAACTGTTATTACATGAATGGGGCATCTATCCTTCTCTGACAAAGGAAAAAGTAAGCTAGTTGCTTATCCTTTACAGGACGTTGCAGAACAAGCCCTAGCCCGAGTTTTTTTTTGGCTGTTGTGGTTTTTCTAGGCAAATATTATGTTCAGTAGTTTGCCACTGCTTCTGAACGGGCAGCTCTTGGTACCACTGTCGAAACCAGCGAAATGACATATCTTCCACAGCTGGGATTGAACCCAGCATCCCAGAATTCTAAACTACGTTTGATATGCCTAAGCCACAAGGGAAAAAAAACGAATAAAATATTTACATATTTTAAATTAGAAAATCCCAGCAGGAGCTGATATCATCAAGCAGTAGGACAAGAGGAGCTGATATCATCAAGCAGTAGGACAAGAGGAGCTGATATCATCAAGCAGTAGGACAAGAGGAGCTGATATCATCAAGCAGTAGGACAAGGCTGGCAAAGGATAAATCTCCAGATGCTAACATGATTACATGACCTTGGAGTGAAAATTGGTGGAGCAGACTATTGCTCTCTCTCTCTCTTGTTGTACCCCCCCCCCCCCCCCCTTTCCCCCCAGGAAATCACACAAGTGACAAACATCCGGTGACACAATGTGCCACCATGCAGATAAGCACCACCTGTGGAGAGGTCTCAGAAACCCCTTTCAGCCATTAGGCTATATTTATGGCTGGGCTATATTCTGGGGGGGGGGGCGGTCTTGGAGCGTGAGGATTTAGTCTCACATGCCTAGAGCTGTGTGTCGCCATGGACTATTACTGCCGACAAGAAAAAAATATTGGTGACCTTACTGAGGATTCAAACTGGGTCTCCCAAATGACAGCCTATCATTCTCCAATGCACTGCTCCTCATTAATATAACAACTGTTATAAAGTAGGTTACCACAATAATTAGACACTACACAAGTAGTTGAGAAAAACAACATCATATCAGGAGTTACCAATTAGTTCATGGTGAGTTTCTCGAAACTGTATGATTTAACCAAATCTAAACAAAGTATTAAGCACGTCCTTACTTCCGTGCCAACTGTTCAGCATCCAGTTCAACATTAGAACATTCACTTCCCGCTTTTTCATTCGTTCCATCCTCACTGTCTGAAACAGCTGCTTTGTTAAAAGGTGTTGGTGGCTCGTCAATTTTCATGTGTCCATAATCCTTGTTGGCTGGATGGTAAGTAGCAATTATGTTCATTTCATCCCATTCAATCTCTTTTTTGCTGGAGAAAAAAACACAATGATTCTGTAGGAACCTTCTCACCATGGTGCCCACAGTCTATGAGTAGGGGGTATCATGGCCTATTTAGTTATAATGTAATAACTTTTTTTTCTTTTTCTTCTGACTTTCTTTTTCTTCTTTCTTCTCTGGCTGTAAGCTCTGGCAGAAGGTCATAGTTGTTTGTCCATCTGGACTTTGGCTTTCTGTCAGGGCCTGCAGTCTGCGTGTACATCCATTTTACTGACTTATTTGTGTGCTGTTGGTTGTTCCTTGCCGCTCTGGCAAATGAATTTTGATTTCAAAGGAAGCCCCCAATTAGTCGACTCTTACGACAAGCTTGTTCAGGGGGCAGTGATTCTGTTCTTTTCCCCAAAATTAGGAACCCACGAGGGGACATCTGATTTTCAACTTCTAGTCAAGCACAGGTCCTCAGTTAGATCTCATCCCATCCCCACAGTAGACTGCAAGGTTACTTTGCAACCCTAGAAGTAAAGGACCCCTTTCTAGGCATACTGGGCACAAAGAGCTACACCTATATTCTTTAGACCAGTCATAATTTGTAGGGTTTTATGGTCAAAATCATGTTGGTCACCTTTATCTCCCAGAACACCTATATTCTTTATTTTAGACCAGTCATAATTTGTAGGGTTTTATGGTCAAATCATGTTAGTCACCTTTATCTCCCAGAACACCTATATTCTTTAGACCAGTCATAATTTGTAGGGTTTTATGGTCAAAATCATGTTGGTCACCTTTATCTCCCAGAACACCTATATTCTTTAGACCAGTCATAATTTGTAGGGTTTTATGGTCAAAATCATGTTGGTCACCTTTATCTCCCAGAACACCTATATTCTTTAGACCAGTCATAATTTGTAGGGTTTTATGGTCAAAATCATGTTGGTCACCTTTATCTCCCAGAACACCTATATTCTTTAGACCAGTCATAATTTGTAGGGTTTTATGGTCAAAATCATGTTAGTCACCTTTATCTCCCAGAACACCTATATTCTTTAGACCAGTCATAATTTGTAGGGTTTTATGGTCAAAATCATGTTGGTCACCTTTATCTCCCAGGACTTTACCTGCTACCAATTTTAGGCTGGGTCAAACCGGAGGTCAAACTGGGGGTCAAGGTCTTTTTTTTAAACAAGAGTCTGGCTTTGTCAGGTCCTGAACCCACAACATTCAGATTCGCAGGCAATATGTAACCATAGGGATGCCCCAAATAAAACTGTCTTATACAAGTGAATGAGATCTGCTGGTTTAATTCTCATCCTTAGGCTGTTAATCCTAAGGCCAACAGTCCTGGAGAGAACAATTTCTTACAAACAGATCCTCAATTGACACATGCCATGCAAATTAAAAAACTAACAAGGTAGATGACTCTTATCAAGACAGTAGCACCAGTAGCATTTGAAGCTAGATTCAAATTTTTTAATAATGAATGACCTGTATAAAATTCTTGTTTTTGAAAGATTTTTTTAGAGAATTCCCATGAGTGTCAATCAGCCCCACAATGAGCGATAAACACCCAGTGACACAAAGTGCCACTAATCACCCACCTACAAGGCTCACAAACGACGTTCATCTGTTAGGTTATATTTGGGCCCCAGGTTAAAGCCGGGGTGGGGCTTCAAAATAACAAAAAGTTGCATACCATATTGGGGCGAAGTTAAGAGAATTCCCATGGGGTCAGGACCCATTTTATTTAGCCATACGAGGGTAAAAGGGTTAGGTCCCTTCCCCCCTTTTTGTCCTACACCAGTCTAAAAGTGGTAAATGCAGTAATTAAAGGCAGTTTTATTTTTTATAATATGGGCCCCTGTAATCTACATGTCAGTCAGTAGCCTGTCCTTTGCAGAACCATGCTCCAATATTAACTTTCGGTAAAACTTCTCGATCACAAGCAAGATGTCCCGCGTCCGATACACCCATCTGGAGATCATCCGCCACACCCCCACCCATCCCATCTTCTCTTTGGCCTTCCTCTTCCTCTCTTCATAGGCATATAATCCTCCAGGCATATACTCCTCCATTATTGTTCTCTCTAAACTTTCGTGACCAAAATATTTCAATTGTCTGTGTTGTATCGTCTTAAATAGCTAACCTTTTTTAATATTTATTTCCTGAAGTATGGATGCATTTGTTCTTTTCTTTACCCATGATATTCTTAGAACCAATCTAAAACATTTATATTCAAAAGCATTTATGTGCTGTTCAGCTTGTTTAGTAACTGTCCAGGTCTCACAGGCGTATGTTGCAATGGGAAAGATGCATGCTTTTAGAAATCTAATTTTTGTAGTTTTGTCCGTCACACTCCATAATTTATTCAGTTGTTTTAGTCTTTGAAGAGCAACTGATAATCTACATGTGCAAAACATTAATGAAAGATTATTATTTGTCAATTTTTGCACAGCAAATCAATATGTCACACTTGCCTGTCGGCATGAAAGTCTTCAGTTTGATTTGGGGTGGGTCATTTATAAATGATCTGGGTTCCCAGGTCAACCTAGCATAAAGTGGCTACCAGGACATATTCTGGGAAATAAAGGTGGCTGGCATTACATTGACCACATTATCTACTGAGTGATGACTGTTTTACAAAAAAATGAGGTTAGCATTAATTGTCTGATGCGGCTAAAGATGAAAATAATTAATTATTTACTGTACTTAAACCAAACTGCCATTTTAAAAAAAATGCTTATTCCTTTTAAAGAACACATAAAGTAACATGGCTAGAACTATATATGGCTAGACCAGAAGATGATATGATGATGAAGAAGAAGGAGAAACCACACATGGGGGAGAAGTTGCAAACAATGCAGCAAGAGGTAGACAGTAGTACAAATGGGTAAATATCAAGAAATGAACAAACAGCAGTCTCAGAGATTGTACCAGCAGTGTGACTGGCAGAGGGCACAGGAGACCCATTGCAGACAACCTTCACACTAGTGGGTGGGGATGATGAAGTTAGTGTTTGTTTCATTTGTTTCCATTTATCCTCTCTAGGCTACTTCCTGACCGTCTGACCCCTCTAAGATCAGGGGCGTCACAGTCTGGTTGATAAGGAATGCTAGGCCCCCCCCCCCACCACTTCCCAAACAACAAAGTACAGAAGTTCTCTTTAGAAGTCTTTGTTTACATAATTCATATTATTTCAATCAAATATAGTATTAGATTTCTTTGCATTTAGTACATTATTTTTCTCATCATTATTAACTCTTTGAGTCCCAAGGAACGCATCATACGTTCATAGGTTACTGCCTAGAAGCCCAATGAACGCACGATGCGCTGATTTTACGTCTCTTTTGACTACCCCTTGGGCCTGTGATGCTAAACCCTCTGGGACTCAAAGAGTTAAACACTTAAACAATGCTTAGGCTCCCCTGCCTGAGAAAATGTTAACCCCCTCCCCAATCCCTGTTATCCTTGTATCTGTACCCCTGTCTGGGATTATAAATCTCAGTCTGGAAAGCAAGCTAACTGGGAAGATCACAGATACCATATTTGATCAGGAAAAAAAAAAGAGGAAATATATCTGTGGCACTGTAAAAGTTGTACCTGCCTTGTGTAGCCTAATTATATATATATATATATATATATATATATATATATATATATATATATATATATATATATATATATATATATATATATATAAACATATTCCTATGCGGATAAATAAAGGATCCAGTGCCATGTCTGACATATGCTAGCCTGGGCCTTATATTTTTACTGACTAACCGGCACTATGTATGTGATGTGGTCAACATCCCGCCGGCCGTCTTTACCTCCCGGGATTTTAGCTGGTACCCAGTTTAAGGCTGGGTCGAGCTGAGAACCAAGGTGTGGGTAAGGATGGGTGTTAACTGTAGTAGTTACGTCTATTCGCCTTTTTTTACACGAAGTCTTTTACAACGCGAAAGCTACACAAATAGAAACAAATATCACTAACAGATAACCGCGGCACTAATGCTGTGAAACAGAAACCGTTGGATTTAATTTCTGTTTTTTTCTCGTGGTTCATACATTCTGTTCCCCCTATCCCTATCGCATAACTCCTCTCCCAGCCTAGCCACCGGCAGACGACAGCCAATGCGTTAGACTTACGCACACTTTTATCATTCAGCATTTACTTTACGCTTTACAGACACTGAAACAAAAAGGCATATAACATGATCGTACTGCTGTTCCACGCTTCCAGACGGCTTTAGAATCCCTTTCTTCGGCTTCCCGGAGAAGGAAGCCATACTTGTCAACGCTGGCTTGTCATTGGGCCAGTGGCAGGGAGGACAGTCTCGCACAGAATACTCACTGTCCCCTATCCCCTTAGAGCCAGCGTGGTGTAGCGGCTGGACGCTCGCCTCCGGAATCGAAGGTTGTGGATTCAAATCCGAACAGTGACGTGTTTTTTTCAAAACTGACCTCGTCCTTTGGCTCAGCCATAAATGGCTACCAGGCAAAAGTCCTGGGAAGTAAAGGCGGAAGGCTGGTGCTGACCACATCACCCACCGAGTACTGACCGCTGTATGAAATATACATTTAGTAGTATATGCCTGAGCGCGGGGAATAGAGTCCGTTACCCTAATTATCCTTGCAAGCATAATATCAACCAAATACTGGATTATCCATTAGAGAGGCATAGGCCTAAACATCCTCCTCACCCGCACAATATCACTCAAATTCAACCCACTTCGTAACCATTTGGTGGTATCATGTAGTTCCCTGTCTTTTGTTGGTTAAAACAACCTTCTATCCCAGTAGAGACAAAAAGACAAAATTATAAATACAATATTTATACCGACTTTAGGTTATCAATGTCGGACATTGACAAGAGAACACGAGAGAAAACTAACCACCTGTGAGATGTGTGAGAATAGCTGCGAATAAAACCTGAAAAGATCGAGTGAGAAACGACGTGATCACAAGAACTATTAGAACAACACCCATCGTCAAATTTTTCGAGAAACAAAGAAAGGAATGGTTTGGCCATCTAATGGGAATGAAATCAACGATGCCAGCAGCAGGAGCGTACAACCTGAAAATCGAAACACCAAGAGGCAGGGGGAGACCGAAAAGAACATGGATTGAAGGAGTCACTGACACATTGAGACTGCATAACATCACGGCATATCAAGCGACTGAGCGCGCCCTGGCTCGGCTGCCGATCGTCTGACGAACTGCGACGCCTAGCGGCAAAAGCAGATATTGAAAAAAAAATGTTGTTGCTGCTTGTAATAATGCTTTATCTAATTTTAGTTGTGCCCCAAGTTTCAGAGCCACATAAAACGACCGGTCTTGTCAACGTTTTGTATATTTTGATCTTGGTGTTATTTCCCCACATAACGCCGGCTTTCTAGATTCGGTAGGGAAATCCCCAGTCCGTCCCATAGTGAGGGTGGGGTATGATATATCCCCTAATGTGTTATATTCGGAGTAGTTTTGGAGTATATGTTTGCTGTCGGGAACACCAAACAACATGCGCACCTGACTATCTATTGTTACTGTTGGAAAATGTCTCTTGTTTGTACATTTTTAAGCAGTTGCCAATTGCTGTTAAGGACGTCAAGAGTGTTAAGCAATTGACATCATGGTGTAGGCGACACGGTGACGTTATTATGTTTAAAGATGGCCGCCACACGTTTAACATGCTTCAAAGAGGAGCAGCGTTCTGTTATTCGTTTTTTGATAAGCGAAGGGGTGAAACCTATAGAAATTCATCGACGAATGAAAACCCAGTATGGCGACGCATGCCTGTCAGTTCAGCAAGTGTATGAGTGGAGCCGGAAATTTCAAAACGGGGTGACTTCTGTGACAGATCGTGCACGACCGGGTCAGGCACACCGAGTAGTGACACCAGAGTCGATTGCAGCCGTTGAAGGCCTCGTCAAGGAGAATCGCCTACTGACTGTGAGCGACATTGCCGCACATCTCGACATCAGTCAAGGTTCAGCACACCACATCATCCATGATGTGCTTCAGTACCGTAAACTGTCTGCAGGGTGGGTGCCACCCGTCGAACACGAGTTTTCATTGACTGCTACTACACGAAACGAAATCAAAATGGCACCGAAACGAAAGATTAAAGAAGTAGAAGAAGGTATGGCGCGTATGAATGTTTTTAAATGTAACATTAAATTACATGTCCAGTTTATTGCCAGCTGCTGGCTCAGGGATTAAAAATAAAGACTTCTTTCTTCCTTCGTTTAAAATATTTTTAGTAGTGAGTATTAACTTTAGTCAAATTGTATACATTATTTTTCAGTAATGCAACTAAGTACTAGCTAGCATTAAGTAGTTTGAAACCACTTGAAAGATGAAATCCAAGGTATCTCATAGTAGTCTGTACGTCAATTCTATATATATACATGTAGCCAGATACTTTTCAGTACGTTCAGATACGTTATAAGTTATAGGCCTGTGCTATAACTTTTTTGGAAGAACGTCTTATCCCTGAGCCTTAACCCTACCAGACCTGAGGCTCTGAACCGAACTGTCCCCTATACTTGAGCTCCTCTGCATTAACACGAGAAAACGAACATGATATACAAAAATATTAGTTGCATGCAAACAAGTGGTTAGAATAAGATGAAACTTGGAGACATTTAATCTAGTGCTAATATTGATTTATATCCTTATGTGCCAACCCACCCAGCAGGATCAGCCTTGTTTCACAAAGTGAGCACTAGATGTTGCTGTTTGAGGGACATGCCCCCTTCTCTTACTATTGATCTAGTTTGAAATCTATAATTTTCAAGATTCTCCTCATCAAGCTCTCACTGACTGTGTCACTTCAACTGGGAACATATTCTTCATGAAATTCTGACTCCTTAGAGTCTGAATCAACCAAAGTATCGATCGCCTGTTGGACTATGAAAAGCCTAGTCCTACTTCACTTTCCTGTTGAATTGCTTGGTTCATCAGCCGCTCGTTTCATTGTGAAGTTTCAGAATTTTTTTCATGTTAAACCACACAAAGTAAATCCAAACACATGTGGGCAGTCTTTCGCAATGACTAAACACAAGGTCTGACCACAATTGGCTAGTTATTTTTAGTTTCTGATGCCTGGTTTTCACATAATACGCAAAGTACTGACAATGAGGTACAGCGGTTTAGTGGCAGATTAGAAAATTACAGCAGAAGCGGTATATCGGTCTGCAGGTAAGAGTTAAAAACCAAAGTGTCTGATAACTGCTGCTAGTGTCGCTCTGCCAAAGTCTAACAATTGTCAGATGAACCAACTATAAACTTGTCACTCTGGTCGTAAAGGTAGTCAACTGATCTAATTTGCTACCGCAGCGACAGTATAACACCAAATCTTACAGCACCTGTTGAAAGTCACCATATCGTCCAGTCCCTATTAAGTCGGATTAAGTGCAGCAGAGAATGATCGGGGCCTGGCTTCATGACCCAGGTTGGCCCACCTTCCGAGATTGCTAGGGAAGCAGTTTGCCAAAACAATTGTCCACTAAGGATCTCTACTGATGACCAGTGGACTCCTGCTGTGTATGTTCCCGTGTGGAGTTCTACTGATGACCTGTGGACCCCTGCTGTGTATGTTCCTGTGTGGAGTTCTACTGATGACCGGTGGACCCCTGCTGTGTATGTTCCCGTGTGGAGTTCTTCTTATTATATTTTTGTTTGTGACCAAAGATCTTTAAAATCCCAGTGTGATCTGTGGACTCAGTTCATCAACCATAAAAAAAGTATGTTTCCATGGCCCGTGCCTTAAGGTTATTTTAACTGTAATGTTACATTATGTGGTTCTGAATATATTAATGGACAGTGATTAATGTGATCACATTAATCTGATCATATAATAAAATATTTTTGTTTAAAAATTGTATTTTCTGTTAGGTCTAGTCATGTCACAAACATAGTGATATATGGTTGCTAAAGTCTATGTTGAGAAACAAAACATTTACAGCAATTAAAGTGTTAAAATGCATGTTCTAAAAGTACTGAAATTAAAATATGTTCCTGTTATTTATATGATTTACGTTTTAAAATGAATATCTCAGCTTAGAATTGACTTAGAGGTTTGAATGAAGTACTGCTTGATTTCATTTCCAAGTAGAATCCAACTTTTCTAGTGCATTATCTACAAATAATTTTGAAAATGTGACTAACTTACCTACTGTGAGTAGTGGATTGTGGAACCTTCTGTATGTTAGTCTGGATTGACTAGGATGAATGAGGTGTTCTGCAAAAAACAAAACAGTACTGCTTGTCCCAGTGGGGCAGGGCATTATCTTTGGTGTTTAAAGTACTTGAACACCAATTTCTAAGCAGAAGTCATTAAGAGAATTGATCATAGAAAGCAGCAGCACTTTACATGATGTCAGCTATTGGGAAGTCATCAAAGTCTCAGTGAGTCCATGGGTTACATCTTACTGGTCTTGGGAAGGTGCAACCCATGCTGCATGCACTCCGCATCCCCTCAAGGTTGCTATCTGGAAACTTTGACACCCTGAGATCAGATCTCACTCTAGAGGGCAAACCAACAGGACCTGCAGGGTTGACACTGTGACACTTTATGAATCTCAGTGCTGATGGCAGACCTGCAGGGTTGACACTGTGATACTTTAACAATCTCAGTGCTGATGGCAGACCTGCAGGGTTGACACCGTGATACTTTAAGAATCTCAGTGCTGATGGCAGACCTGCAGGGTTGACACTGTGATACTTTAACAATCTCACTGCTGATGGCAGACCTGCAGGGTTGACACCGTGATACTTTAACAATCTCAGTGCTGATGGCAGACCAACAGGACAAGCCCATATACCCCATTCAACACTTCATCTTCCACTCCCTGAAATATTAGAATGTCCTGTGACCTGTGGATTTTCCCTGTTTGTGGTTGGCTATTGGTAAAGTGCCCTTAATTTCACTATGTTAACTCATTTAATGCTAACCAAGTACAATTTATTTGCACTGTTATTTTCTTCTTTTTTTTTCCAGCTGATAGTGAAGGCAACCAACCTTCTGACAAAAAGATTAAACAAGATAGTACAGGAAGTGTGAAGTCTGTGAAGGTGGGACTAAAGGGAAAGAAAGCGCCCGGCTCAAGTAAAACACAGCCAAAGAAAACCGCAACAGATAAGGCATCACCTTCTGCAGTATATTCACACTGGTTAGTAAAGTCTGAGCCGGGATCTAGATATGAAAAAGGAATTGATATGAAGGTACTTGTGCCTTACATTTTGTTTTTGTTGCTTATCTTTTGGTAACTTCTTCTCTGAAGTGTCTCCACTGATTGATCAGTTAGTCCCCTCTGGGCTGATATCTAAAGGTTATTTTAAAAATTTCATTCTGAACAACAGACCAACAAGACGGATCCCAGAGACCTCATACAATCCCCAAAGAAGTTACAGTTAGAACAACCATAACAGCAACACGAACCTGGTGTAACCTGCAGTCCTATGGAGGTAAGGACCACCTTGGTGTAGTAGAGGGTCTTTTGCCTCCACATGCACATAGGCTATGGCAGTGTTTCTCAAACATTTCTTAGTCGTTATGCCTTTTTTCAACCAACATTTTTCCGCGGTGTCCGAACCTAAAGTAAAAGTATGACTATTTATATGTAAGAGAAAAAAAATAAAACTTGTGTATCTTCAAATATTTTGCGGCGCCCCTGTGAAGTGGTCACAGCTCCCTGGTGCGCCCCGGCACACACTTTGGGAATCACTGGGTTATGGGCTAACAATTATCCCTACTACCAGAAATATTCTTACCTCCATTAGATTCATCAGGGAGGAGCCATATGCCAAGTTGAAATATAAATCTTTTGATGTGTCTCCACCTTGGTGTGACGGAGGGGAGTGTGATTTTTTTGTGGGCACATCAGGCAGTTAGTGCCTGGCAGGCATTTTTATTTGGGCCACTTGGTACTCCATGGGTGTTGTTATCACTGCTGTACTAGCTACCTTTACTTTCCAAGACATTACCTGGTACAAGTTTTAGGCTGGATTTGACAGTGATAGAGTTAACAAAGTGTTTGGTTTTGATTGTTCTGTTTAGTTCAGTTTTGATGATCTGAAAGTTTCACCAGACCAGACAGCTTGTTGGGATGGAGTCCGAAACTATCAGGTAAGTTTTAAAAAGACAGTGTTTTTATGATGTTGCCATTGACCCCCTTGAATTGTCGTTAACCCTTTGGCTCAGGGAAGAGCAAACGCAGTATTTCCGGTTCCCTGTAAAAGCCAGGGTACTTAACCTTTCTACAGGGACGTGTTTATGAGATGCCTTGTTAATGCCATTGGCTGTGTTTGCACATGTTCAGCATTTAGGAGGTTGGTTTATGAATATAAAGGACCCTTTTCCCACACCTTCAGGCGTATTGGGCATGTAAGACTAGAACTATATTTTATAGACCAATCGGTACTCAGTGGGTGATGTGGTCTACATGTTGCCAGCTGCCTTTACTTCCCAGGACTGTACCTGGTACCCATTTAAGGCTGGGGTTAACCTCGGAACCAAGGTAATTTTGTATTTTAAAAGTCTGGCTCCGTTAGGACCTGATCCCACAATCTTCTAATCTGTCGGCGAGCGTCTGGCCGCTGCACCATGGCAGCTCCAAGTTTATGAATATATTTACTAAAAATAAAATTTAGGGGCATTTTCTTGTTAACAAACCGGCTTTTTTTTAAGCTATGTTGACACCAAATTTTCCCTTCAGCCTCACTGACAAAGGTCACAGGTCATGGCATCAGTCATCTGATACATATTATTTAGGCTCTGACTGGGGCGAAGTGGTCAAACCGTTTGCCTGGCACTCTGAAGGTCGTGGGTTCATTTTCCGGTGGCGCCGCTCAGTTCACGAGTGAATTTTTTAAAGGAGATCCCTGGAGATTGTTGCCAGAGCTACGGAGTTTGTGCTTTGTGTAGCACTCTCTGCAGGTAGTTAGCTGTTCTACAAAGAGACTAAGGCCTATGGGATAAAACCCCGTGCAATGATGTCAGTCCTCTCGACTTTATATATCTTTGTATATTTTGAAAATAAATTTTTAAATATAGATAAATTAATCTTTTTTTTTTTTTTTATGTCTTAGTGACCAGTGTCAAATGGTTGTTTTTTCAAAAGGATTTTTTTTCTCTCAGGAATTCCCATAGAGTCATGAACCATTTGTTTTAGCATTCCCATGGCAAAAGGATTAACATTTTCTGTCAAAAGCAAGGCATCCTACATATTTAGCAATTCTTCTACCCTTCTGTTGGGAAATGAGCAGGCAGATAGACTGGCCGGTTCTGCACCACTTGGTGGTGAACTGATGTATGACAAGCTGGATGTTGTGAGGCCCCTCTGGGAGTGAATGAACAGTGAGGAAGCATAAATAGATCATTACGGTCTGAGAAGAATGGCGCTGCGAGAGTTACCAGGAGATCTGGCCGACGCTCAACACTCAAGGGAAAGGCGAGATGGATATACAATCAGAAAAGTTACTGGTGCCATCAGAATTGGAACTTTTCGTTGGCTGCTGACGATTGTGATGGAGCGCTTATGGGAGTGTCCCGATTGTTATGATGTTGATTCTTATTTCAGCATTCCAGATTCAACATGCTTTCCTACTGATTAATATGTCATCTTTTGTATTATATTTTCTCAGTCAGTTCACATTCCCATGTCTTCTTCTTCTTCTTCTCATTCACCAGCTGTAAAGTTCTGGGGATTGTCCACTTCTGGACTGCAGTCCTGTTCCAGAACCTGAGTGTTGTGTGTGCATCTGTTTTACAGATCTGACTCATTTGTATGCAGACTGCTAGTTTCTTGCCACTCAGGCAGATGCACTCCGGCTTCGAAGGAAGCTTTCAAATAGTCGGAACCCACACAGGGAGCATTCCCATGTGAGCTCAGTCCTCCGATGCAGCAGCCACCTGTGGGTACTTATGCTGATTATTCATTTGAAAAGTTGGTTACAGTGTCTCCTATCTTGACCTGGAAGAATTCCCCGGCATGCTTTTCCAGTCTTCACTCCGAGATCATGCAGTCATTAGAGATTGGTTGCTGTTCGCTAGTCTAGTCCGCAGTGTGTGTCTGTCCGTGCATCTTCGGGCATGCAGTGGTGTCCATGCATATTTCATCATTATAGGACTTTCTTTGTTCTGTCAGAGTATGCTAAAGAAATCAGGTAGTCTGTTCTCTACACCGGCTACATCGTGTTGATATGAATATGTTACTGTACTCATAATCTATTGCTTTTTGAGCATCGCTAAATTTTAATGTCTAAATAGTGTCAGTAGAGCTGCCATCGTGACGTGGCTAGACGCTGGCCTGTGGATCGGAAGGTCGTGGGTTTAGGTCCTGATGGGGGCCAGACTTAAAATAAAATAACCTTTGGCTCCCAGGTTGACCAAGACTTGGATAGGTACCAGGTAAAATCCTGGGAAGTAAAGGTGGCCGACCATATCTCTTACTGATTTTCGATTGGTCTGTCAAATATAGGTCTATTCCTATATGCCCAGTACGCATGAAGGCATGGCAAAAGGACCTAGAACGGTTCGGTTTAGACAACGGATCATCATCATGACACAAGGGTAGTAACCCATAAATGCTCCATTCTACTTCTGACTGTAGCTTAAGTCCGAAGTATCTCAGTGCAGCGCACGAACTCCGTAGCACTGGTGAGGATCCTGAAATACTTTGAGTAGATTTTTAACTAACAATTTGCCTAGGCAGCGCCGTTAGGCTACTCTTTACGATTCCCATCTGTCAAGGGGTTTGTTTACATGCGCAAGAATACACACCGGTGTCCAATTTTACTACCCAGAGACCAAGGAGATTACCAGAAGTCAACATTTAAAAAAATCCCAGCTTTCACCGAGGCTTGAACCGGGGACTTCCAGCACTTGAGGCGGACACTATACCTTGAGACCACTCAGCCCCCAGTCATGTGGCAATATCTGTCTAGTATTAGATCAGATGAAAGAGATGGAGCCACTAGCACAATGAAGATGATCCTGAATGCAATCAATCATATTTCTTCTTCTTCTTCTTGTGGTCGCTTGTTGATTTACATTGACAAACAAGTTGTAATCAGTCATATTCATAAAGATTTGTTGTTGTTGCTTTTGATTCCCAATGTTTTCAGGCACGCAACTTTCTTAGAGACCAGATGAAGCTGGACCATGCAGACTTCTTCTATCACAGCAATTGCAAGGATCCAGGAATTGTGGGCATCTGTAAGGTCTGTATAATTAATTTGGCTTGTAAGTAGAGGACCCCTTTCTTTTCCCACCATCAGTTTCTCTTGTGGGTTCTGGGACCCCGTTGTGGGGACAACAAGAATAGACCCACTGCCTCCCCAACAAGCATGTCCTAGGAGTCTACTAATTAGGGACTTCCTTAAAGTCGGAGCACATAAGCCTGAGCAGCAAGGGACAACCAACTGCACACAAATAAGCCAGTAAAAATGGATGCACATGCTAAACTCAGGAATTAGAAGTATAAGTAGTAGAAGAAAGAGAAGTAAAAGGATTAGAAGAAGAGGTAGAAGAAGAAGTAGGAGAAAAAGAAGAAAAAGGAGAAGAAGTAGAAGAAGAAGCAGAAGAAGAAATAGTAGTAGAAGAAGAAGAAGAAATAGTAGTAGAAGAAGAAGAAATAGTAGTAGAAGAAGAAGAAATAGTAGTAGAAGAAGAAGAAGAAATAGTAGTAGAAGAAGAAGAAGAAATAGTAGTAGAAGAAGAAGAAGAAATAGTAGTAGAAGAAGAAGAAGAAATAGTAGAAGAAGAAGAAGAAATAGTAGTAGAAGAAGAAATAGTTGTAGAAGAAGAAGAAGAAGAAATAGTAGTAGAAGAAGAAGAAGAAGAAATAGTAGTAGAAGAAGAAGAAGAAGAAATAGTAGTAGAAGAAGAAATAGTAGAAGAAGAAGAAGAAGTGGAAAAAGAAGTAGAAGAAGTGGAAGATGATGAAGAAGTAGAAGATGAAGAAGTAGAAGACGAAGACGAAGAACACAATGAGTGCACCAGACATATGGTGCTAGGTCCATTTTTTCCAGACCAGTCGGCACCTGAAGATTTAAGCGCTGAGCTCAGAACTGACAGCACTTGAGACAATCTCCTAAATGCTCTGTCCTCATCTTCAGCCACCAGCTGGCTGATGGTGCCAGTAGCAGTTTGATAGATGTCTGTCGTGTGTAGATGTTAACTGTTCCTGTAGCTCAATGATTATACAACACACATCATTCTCTTGCTATTGTACATCCCTCCTTGCTGGATCCACACTGTCTCATTCCCTGGCACCCTCTGCATGTCCCAGGCAGTGAGTCCATGTAATGTTGACCTGTTAATGCTTAGTATCCACTCATGCCACACTTGTCCATTTTGAACTTTCTGCAGTACTCACCAAGAATCGGACACTATCATCCCCCTGGTAACTCTGTTTTCTGCTTTCCACTTCAGAGCAGCAGTAATTGCCTCCACCTCCATCCTCATGATTGAAGTAGTAAATAAACCAGAAAAGCGCCATTTTGTTTTGCCACAATCTTTCCCTTCACTTAAAAAAAGTCAAGAGCTAACCACTTTGCTGCTGTGACACCTAGTGTAGTTTGCAGTTACCATATTTTGTAATAGTTGCGGATTTTCTATGACATGGTCAATCACAACAAACCAGAAAAGGCAATTAGTAACCATTGAAAAAGAGAACGAACAAAAAGACTTTATTTCAAAGTTTTACAAATTGGGCACACAGGCCAGTCTTACATTCGGCGTTTCCAAGCACTCATCTTTAAGACCACAGTTGCATGTTAAAATGTCCAATAAAAAATATACGTCATGAAATAATGCATGCAAACATCATATATACACCATCAAACACACATGTACATACACAGACACATACACACTCATATGGATACGTACACACATATTTACATACATACATACATCCATATATATACAAACATATATAAATACTGACACACACACACACACACACACTTATATTCATACATGTCTGACAAGGGCCGCATGAGTGACCCGAAGAGATCAAATTGAGAATGAAGTCTCAAGAGAACAAGTCGGCACAGAACCAATTCTAAATTACATACAAAGACAGTAAATCAAATTGTTAGCCCACTAAGAATGCCTTGTGCCTCAGTATCATGCAGGGCAGACATTAAAGAAGACAAGAACATGGAGCAGGAGAAACTCTACAACAGCACTACATTAAAGAAGACAAGAACATGGAGCACGAGAAACTCTACAACAGCACTACATTAAAGAAGACAAGAACATGGAGCACGAGAAACTCTACAACAGCAGCACTACATTAAAGAAGACAAGAACATGGAGCACGAGAAACTCTACAACAGCACTACATTAAAGAAGACAAGAACATGGAGCACGAGAAACTTTACAACAACACGGCATGACTATGGTAAAGGCAGCCAGAAAAGCAAGAAGCAGAAACTTAGATCTCCTACACCTGAACAGAGGAAGCCACCAAGTTCTTAATAGCTATATAATTCAAATCCTGATATACAGAAGGGAAAGAACAAACTTTATTTTCAAAGGGTTACAAATTGGGCACGCGTGCCTGTCTTACATTTCTCCCTTCCAAGCACTCATCTTTTAGACCACAATTGTATGTTATCGATAATGCATGTTATGTTTATATTAAAACATACATAATGAAATAATGCATACACACATCATGTATACGCAGACATATACACTCTGAATATACACTTACACAAACACTCTTTTATGCCCATTTGTACACTAGCACATACATATATATAAATACATCTGTAAATACATACACTCACACCCGCCCACATACAAATACATACATGCACTCATGCTCATACAGACACATACAAGCACCCACACTCATACGTACACATACATTCACTCAGACTCATACGCACAAGCATACATGGACAGCTGGCCATTTGGTGAAAAACAAAATTTATGTTGAAGGCGGAGATGTATTTTTAAAGATAAAGGGATTAACGAGGACTGCACATGATGGACTTGGACGGGTCCTCTAGAGACAGCACCTGTGGATCAGGGAATGAGGTCACCACCTACATGAGGTTACAGATGTCCCACAAAACTACCCGGGCCTTTATAGGGAACCCTGGAAGCCCCTGGATACAGCTTATTGACAGAAATTTCACTTGTAATTTTGTGTGTGTCTGTTAGGTCGTAAAAGAAAGTTATCCTGACCACACACAGTTCAATTCCAAGGATCCTCATTTTGACAGGTAAACACTCATTAAATTACATACAGAGACAGCAAATCAAATGGTCTGCCCCACTTAGAATGCTTTAAGACACCATCCCATGCAAAGAGGAGGACTTCATGCACAAGGTAGATCAAGGACAAGATGGAAAGATAACATCCGAGAAACTCTTCAGCAGCACGATGTGTCTATGGTCGAAGTGACCAGAAGAGCAAGAAGCCGAACCTTAAATCTCCCTCAACACCCAAAGTGATAAAAGAGGAAGTTATAGGTGTAGCCTGGTGTAGTAATTAGTGCATACATACATGAATGTAATTTTCTGGGGTTCAAGTCTCTGTTTGAAGCAGGACTTATTCCTGATTAGTAGACCTCTGTGTGAAATTTGTTTTCACCCGCCTGTTTTGAAAGGTTGACCCAGCCTAAACTAGATAGTAGAAAGTGTCCTTGGAAGTAAAGTGGACTATCATATTGACCATGTCAGCAATTGAGTGTCTGAATACGTGGAAAGTACCATATACCCAATTCTTCTAATGCCATAAAAAGTAGTATTTGGAACCAGTACAGCCATGAGTACGGGCGCTGTGGAGATGTGGGTTTTTAGATGAATGTTGAGAATACTCTGGATTGATAAAAAAACCAATAAGAGCAATGACGCCTTGAAAGAAACTGACTCACAAAGAGAACTAATTGTCCACATCAGAAGGAGACAATCTATATTCTTTAGTCATGTTATGAGAAGAAGAAAATTGGAGTACATCGACATAGCAGGGAAGTTGGAGGGGGAAGAGGCAGAGGGGGACAGAGAGATAGTCTGAAATCATGGCATGGAGGATCATCTGTGTCAGAATTTTTTGAAAGTACACAGCATAGATGGCTGTTGATAGACATGACTAACAATGCCACACAGAACAGAGAATAAAGTAAAGAGATCCCTTTTGACGCCTTAGGCGCATCAGGCATATGGGAGAACAGAGAATAACTACCTGTGCAATGCACCATAAGGTCACTAACTATCACAAGAAGAGACAGAGTTACAAATACCAGCAATTAGAAAGTTAGAATAAGACCATGTCTGAATTATATTGACAGACAAACAATGCAATGATTCGAAAATGTAATAAAATTACAGCCAGACGAAAGTGCATAGGAGATTCTGTTTTTAAACAGAAAAACGTCTGGAAGGAAAATGAGGGGAAGACCCAGAAAGAGATGGATAAATGGTTAGTTGAAACCTGCAAAAAGAGAAACAAATCCATCAGCCACGCCACCCGAGAAGTGCAAGACAAATGTAGAATAGCACAACACTGGGCTACGGTGTTACCTGTTAACAATGAGATGAAAATTGGAAAGAAAGAAGTAGAAGTATGAGAGTCACACTGCGGAAGAGATTGGGTCATCACCACATAATATTCCCAAAGACAGCAGTGTAGCAAACCTTTATTGTGGAGACTTCACAGAATATTCCCAAAGACAGCGGTGAAGCAAACCTTTATTGTGGAGACTTCACAGAATATTCCCAAAGACAGCAGTGTAGCAAACCTTTATTGTGGAGACTTCACAGAATATTCCCAAAGACAGCGGTGAAGCAAACCTTTATTGTGTAGACTTCACAGAATATTCCCAAAGACAGCAGTGTAGCAAACCTTTATTGTGGAGACTTCACAGAATATTCCCAAAGACAGCAGTGAAGCAAACCTTTATTGTGGAGACTTCACAGAATTTTTTTGTTAATGTTAACTTTTGTTTTATGCTGTCTGTTAACATGGATACATGTGGCAACATGTTTTCAAACATACGTTTAATAAAACATAGAACATGTTAAATACATAGATTATGTTCACAAGTGTTTTAACACATTTGTTAGCATAGATTCATTCCACTTTCTTAAAGACAAAAGTTTTGAAATGTGTTTAATATAGATTTGTGCAACATGCTTACACATTTTAAAAAAATGTTTAATGTAGATTTTTGCAACTTATATACATGTTTTGTAGTTTGTTTATTAACACTGATTTTTATTTAACAATTTGAATCATGTTTATATAGATAGGTTTCTTCAAGGGTTTGATGTAGATTTCTGATATACGTAGGTTTCCTTCTGCTGTCTGTCATCTTCAAACAGAGGTTATGCCCTCAGTCAGATGACACCAAACTCTTCTGTCGACTGGTTCATACCTGGTTAGAGTTTGCAGTTCAAATATTTTGTGGAATGATATAGCCAGTCTTGAGCCAATTCTCCCTGATCACCTCCTTCAAGGTGCTTGGTAGTCTGTTCATCAGTCAGAATATCCTTTACAGAACATCACTGCACACCTGAAAGTCTCTCTTCCTCTAGCCAACTCTCCAGCCCTATGTGCTTTCATTGCCAGTGCATCTTCAGTGTATTTTATCCACCTTCATGGCGATCGACCTCTGCCTTTTTTTGCGGAAACTGCTGTCCATCACCATCCTCTCCAGGCGACCATGTTTAAAATGGCCAAAATATATTTTGTGACATGACAGATTATTTTGCCAATCCCCCCTCCTTTGAGTATGTGAAAAGAACCTCTCAGCTCAGAGATCACTAGTTTAGAGTTTTTATAGATATATTATGTGGTAGTTTCCATTGGCTACATTGGGCCGGGTGTGCAGAGAGTGGCCACCGGGTGCTATGGAGGTTGAAGTCCAACAGTTGATTCAGGACAATTCACGCCCAGGTGATCTGATTTTCCGTAGATAATTCAGTGTTGAGAGGAAAGAGAAGTGCCTGGGGGTTCGTAGCTAAAGCCAATGGAAAATCTTTAGTGCAAGACAGCCTAGCATATGAGACCACAACATCTAGCATGAGAATGGAGGTGGAGGCGGTAACTGCAGCTCTCCGGTGGCTAGAGAACAAGATGCATACACATGTCGTAATTGTAACAGACCCTGAAAGCATGCTTCAATGGAAACGTCACGGGGAGTAAGCATACTTTAGATCTTTTCTCCAGGCTATGCTGGCATGGTGGGTAACAAACAGGCAGATTGGCTGGGTGGTGAATTGATACATGACAAGGAAGGTGTGGTCTTTGCCCTTTGGGAACAACGGAATCAGTAGAGATAGAAGATTATTATGACCTGGAGAGAATGAGGCATCTGGGTGTAACCAGAGGGTCTGGCCGGCTCACTACACTCAGAGGAAAGGCAAGACGGACACGTAACCAGATTGTGACCGGTATCCTCAGTACTGGAACTCTGCGCTGGCTGCTGAAGATGAAGACGGAGCATGCATGAGAATGCCCCATGTGCTGTGATCTCAACTCCATTTGCTTTCCACGTACACACGACTAAGCACAACATTCAGCATTTTTTTTTAAAGACTGCCAGGGGAAGTAAGTATTGGCAGGATAATCGAGTACCCTGTTCAACAAACAACCAATGGTTGGCTACATAGTTACTATTCTTTGCTTTCAGTCTGGACCTTGGTAACTCACAGACCCTACATAGGTCTTGCATTTTAAAAAATTTTCTCCAATTTCTAAAAACATCCATTTCACAATATGCATTCCAGCTCTTCAAAAGAAGACAATCCTAGATGGTTTATGGTGGACGTGAAGTATGTACGGCCATTGAAAAGATTCATATCTTTGGCTGAGTTAAAGAAAATCCACCAAGAACATGCGAAGAATGGGGGTCCACTACAGAATATGGCCTTGTTTACCAGGGCAAGGCTCTCTGTGCAACCACTGACTCAAGGTAAGACACAGACATGTGCTTATGTATTATTTGAAATTTGATATCACTTCTCCCTTTTTCTTCTTCTTCCCTTTTAAAAGGTATTTGGCAAGTTGTTTTGTGGTTTATAGCTAGGCTGTAAAAACTTTCAGTCTTTTAACAGTTTCAGGGAGTCATTCCTTAATATGTTGCCTTTTGTGACATGCTTGTTAAGGGGGAGTGGGTTTGTCTCTCCACAAGGTGGGGCTCTGGAACCCATACAGGGAGTGTAAAATACAATCTGTATAATGTTGGATTTCATTTTTAATTATAATAAAAAACATTGTGGCGTCCGTGGCTTAGGCCTTGCGAGTCCGACTCCTAATTCCAACGTACCGTGATCGAAACCCGCTGCTAGCTGCATGCATTTTTATCATGGTATGGGGCGTCGCAGGTTGAGCCAGTCTAAAATGGGTACCAGGATGTATGTTCTGGGAAAGTAAAGACGGCCGGCGTAATGCTGACATCACACACCTAGTACCGATGGTGTGTAAAAATATGGGCGCTCTTCCCATATGCCCGATACGCCTAAAAGGCTTGGAAAGGGATCTTTACTTTTTTTAAGTGAAAAAAAAAATAATTAAATAAGACAGCCCTACAAATCTGCAAAACAGATTCATAACGAGATAATTTTCTTGTGCTATTTCTAGGCTGTAAATTTTGTGTTTTGAAAAAATAACTTTTGTTTTGGTTTTCAGAAGAATGGGATTTCATCCTACATCTGGAAGACGAGGACACTTAGGAAATACTGTAAATAAAAATAGCTACAAATCAAAATAAATAAAGATTTCATTGATCATCTCTTTAATATTGTTGGGTTTTGTTATTCTTTATACATGGCACAGCACATACAGTGTGAAGTTTGAGAATGAACAATGTACAGTGGACTCAGTTATGATAATATTTAGCTAATGGGGACAATCCGCTGGCAAGTTATTACGTTTAATTAATTGGCATCAATTATCTACTCGTTATTCACCATGCCAGCTCAGTCATGAAATGAATTACATTTGTATCTTGAGATTTCATTTACTTTCTGCAGTCTCAGATGATCAGTTAATATTTATTTCTGCAGTACAGAGCTCTAGGAATACTTCTGACTAATTTCCTTTTGGAACACCCAACACACACATATAACATCCTCTACACTTTGTCAGGGTTGTTCTTTGATTTCTCAACTAAGAGAACGGTTTCGCTGCCTCCACTACTGAGTTTAGTGCTTCATGCAGCCCATGTGAGCTGTGCTTTTCATGTGGAATGCCTTTCATTTCAGCAGCTGCTGAGCCGTGATATTCAGTATATTTCTGAATTTTGCTGGGACTAATGCTTTGTTCACCAGTTTTTCAAACGGAGAGTGAAAGACATTTCATTTGATTTTCACTGGCATAGAAACAGAGTAGGTATGGAGAAACCCGACTGCAGTGAAGCTGAAACCTCGACAAAGACATAAAAGAAGTGCAAACAAGCAAATTACTAAATGTAGTCATGTTTATTAAAAACACACATTTTACAAACTGGAATGAAAACTACTGATGAAATTAAATATGACAATGTCAGGGCTTCTAATAGTTGTAAGCATTTTCCCCACTTCCTAGGGAAGATGAGTTATAAGGAAGTATGTTTGTAGCACACACCTCAAGACTTGACATTCATTTTGTTTACGTCAGTTGGACATTTGTTTCTTGATATATGACCCCCTTCCCACACCTCCTAAAAGTGGTCAACACAGGCATTAGTGACGTGTTTTTTAATCACTCCAAAATTGTCCTAAATACAACACATTACAGAAGTGATATTCAACGACAGTCCGCGGATAATTGCCAGTTTCTTGTATTATTGATTTTTCTACGCTAAGGCTCGGCCCTCTGGCCTGTGATAGTAAACTTAGTTGAATAGCCTTGCACTAAAGCAAACCATTTAGCCGAAAAGCAAATACTGAAAACTAAACTTAATGGGAACATTCAATGAGCTAAAGGACTAGAAATTCATACAGAAGACTCCAGCATCTGTTGTCTGTTGCTGGTTTTACTTGGCAATTTTACTCAGTATTTTGCCATTTAGGAGCGACTGGCCAAAGGGTTAAGATCACTGGTCTCTCATGCAGGAGAGCCAGATTCAAATCCTCAGTAAGGTTACGGATTTTTTTTTTTGGAGGTACTTTCAATCAACTCTGACACAGACGATCCTCCATGCCATGATGTCAGACTGTCCAGCATCTTTTCTCTCAACCTCCTTTTCCTATTGTCATGACTGACACCTGTTTTCTCCTTCCCATCAAATAACCAAAGAATGCCGACCAAGTCTTTCTGATGTGGGCAATCAGTTCTCTCCATGTGGCCTATACATGCATAAATACGGTCAATGGGTGCTGTTCTTTGTATTGGTAGTCACAATCAATCAGCAGGCTCTTTACAAAATCTTCTTCTTCGCGTTCACCAGCTGTACACTCTGGCGGAAAGTTCTGGTTGCTCATCCACTACTGAACTGCAGTCCTGCTCCAGAACCTGAGTGTTGCGTGTGCATCAGTTTTACAGATCTCATTCTCTTGAATACAGACTGTTGGTTCCTTGCCTCTCCGGCAGATGCACTCCGATTTCAAAGGAAGCTCCCCAATTAGTCGACTCTTACGACATGCTTTTGGGGAGGCAGAGGGTCTATTCTTGTTTTCTCCACAATGGGGCCCTGGAACCCACACAGTGTCCTTTACAAAATGCCCCTCTTGTCAGGTCACGCCTGAGAGTCCCTGTAGCTAATTCTTCAGCCCTATGTGCTTTCACAGTCAATGCATCTTCAACACCTTGTATCCACGTTTGGGAAGGTTGACCTCTGCCTTGTTTTCTGACAAATTGTACCTTCCATCGCCGTTCTCCCCAGGCCAACATGCAGTTGTAGTACATATATATAAATAAATCATAATCACCGCAAAGCCTCCAGCCAGCGATCCTGCATTTTCAACAATTTTCTATCCTTAGCAGCATAAATAAATTCTGGTGAATCAAGAGCCGACTAAAAGACGAGAGGACACATGCTGAGAAAACCTGATAACAGTACAACTACAGTTTGTATATATTTGTTTATAACAAGAAAGCATTGACAAACCACTGAACACAAAAACTGCCTAGAAGAACCACACAACAGCCAATAAATGCTAGGGTCGGTCTGCAATGTGCTGTAAAAGATAGGCAACTAACTTGATACACACCTTGAGCTGCCCAGGCCTTCTAAAAGGGCTGATCCTACATTTCTGAAGGGGCCTAGCAGAAACAAGAATATGTGCCAGAACACTTTTACACTAACAAGAATATATGTTTTATAACACTACACTAACAAGAATATATGTTGTATAACACTATACTCCCAAGAATATATGTTGTATAACACTACACTCCCAAGAATATATGATGTACAACACTACACTAACAAGAATATATGTTGTACAACACTACACTCCCAAGAATATATGTTGTACAACACTACACTCCCAAGAATATATGTTGTATAACACTACACTAACAAGAATATATGTTGTATAACACTACACTAACAAGAATATATGTTGTATAACACTACACTATCAAGAATATATGTTGTATAACACTACACTAACAAGAATATATGTTTTATAACACTACACTATCAAGAATATATGTTGTATAACACTACACTAACAAGAATATATGTTGTATAACACTACACTAACAAGAATATATGTTTTATAACACTACACTATCAAGAATATATGTTGTATAACACTACACTAACAAGAATATATGTTGTATAACACTACACTAACAAGAATATATGTTTTATAACACTACACTAACAAGAATATATGTTGTATAACACTACACTATCAAGAATATATGTTTTATAACACTACACTAACAAGAATATATGATGTACAACACTACACTCTCAAGAATATATGTTGTACAACACTATACTACAAAGAATATATGATCCACAACACTACACTCCCAAGAATATATGTTGTACAACACTATACTACATTCCTTTGAAGTCGGAGTGCATCTGCCGGAGAGGCAAGGAACCAACAGTCTGTATTCAAGAGAATGAGATCTGTAAAACTGATGCACACGCACCACTCAGGTTCTGGAGCAGGACTGCAGTTCACTAGTGGACGAGCAACCAGAACTTTCCGCCAGAGTGTACAGCTGGTGAAGAAGAAGAAGAAGACTATACTACAAAGAATATATGATGCACAACACTACACTCCCAAGAATATATGTTGTATAACACTACACTCCCAAGAATATATGTTGTATAACACTACACTCCCAAGAATATATGTTGTATAACACTACACTCCCAAGAATATATGTTGTATAACACTACACTCCCAAGAATATATGATGTACAACACTACACTCCCAAGAATATATGTTGTACAACACTATACTATGAAGAATATATGATGTACAACATGTTTACATTATCAAGAACACATGTTGCTACAACTTTTTATACTGTGAAAAATATGTTGCTACAACACTTTACATTATCAAAAATATATGCTTTACTACATTTTACACTATCAAGAATATATGTTGCCACAACACTTTACAGTATCAAGAATATGTTGCACAGCATTTTACATATCAAGAAAAAGCGCAGCAACACTTTACACTATCAAGAATTTGTTGCCACATCATTTTACACTAACAAAAATATACTTTGTACAAAACTGTACACTATCAAGAATATGTTGCCACAGCATTTTACAAATCAAGAAAATGGTGCAACAACACTTTACACTATCAAGAATATAGTTTGTACAACACTTTATACTATCAACCTGAAACAAACATACCAGCCACTCACATATAAATAAAATCCATCCATCAATCATACACAAACATAAAAAGCCAATTGCAGTCATATACACAAATAAATCAAAGTTCATAATTAAGGCAACAAATCGTGATCAAGGTACAATTTAAAAAAATAACATAAATGTTGGGAGTACTGTCAGCTGAAAGCAGTGATACAAAAATCCTTCATGGAAACAGACCCAATGTCTGTTTTTCAAAATGTCACCACATTGTGCGCGTGTATGTATGTGCACAGTGCAGACCTGAAAAGTGGAACTCACCAAGGACCCAAGAAATGGTGGTTCTTATCAGAAATTCTTCTCATTCAGATAAGACTTCAAGTAAGAAAAATTGCTGGAGATAAACAAACTGTTCTTCACAACAGAAATTTGTACATCTGAGATTGCCTTAAGCAGTCTGCACTATATATATATATTTACACACACATTGTACATTTCTTTGGTTAAACAATGTAGTTTTAAAAGGTAAAAGTTGTATGATTGGCTGAAACCAGTGATAGACTGCTTGAGCTAGTTTTGTTTGTGACAACCAGCTGTTTACCAAACAATGACACCATAGATGGCATAGTGACCAAATGAGAACTTTTCCCTTGAGAAATGCAAGCAAACACCAATCATATGTTAAAACAAGATAATCTTCCCCAACATACAATGGATCTAGGTTCACAGAGATGGCTCACTAAAGGAAGCTGTACTAAATGGACCGTCCGTGCGATAAGAATGCAGTGTCTCTATGGAAAACAAATTATCGGCGACTCGCCCGTAGACAGCAACTTCGCCAGTAAGGGCAGTATTTGAGTCTCCTTTGATCACATTGACACTGCAGGAGTATTTTTGAGGGCTTTTGTTGGCCCGCAGTGCTAAGACATTTTATATGCCGCATTTAACCT